GAGGGGCTTTCACACAGCCCCTAGAGCCTGGCACTTGGAACTTGGACTTCTAGCCTCCCGAACTATAAGAGAATAAACTCCTGTTGTTAAGGCCATCCCATTGGTGGTGTATCCTTGTCAGAGTGGCACTAGGTAACCAAAACAATGGGGAAGAGGTAAGTGGATAGACATCTCTGAATGGGCCAAAGCAGTGAAGATATTTGTGGCTAATGTGAATGCTGACCAAAGGGTGACCTCAGCAGAGGAGGATTTTAACAATCAGGTGGATAGGAGGACATGTTCTGTGGAAACCAGTCATCCTCTTTCCTCAGCCACCCCTGTTATTGCCCAACGGGTCATGAACAAAGTGGCTGTGGTGGCATGGATAGAAGTTATGCATGAATTCAACAACATGGACTTCCACTCAGCAAGGTCGACTTGGCTGCAGCTACTGCTGAGTGCCCAATCTGCCCGCAGCAGAGACCAATACTGAATCCCCTGTAGGTACCATTCCGCAGGGTGATCAGCAGCAACCTGGTGGCAGGCTGATTACATTGGACCACTATGGAAAGGGCAGCATTTTGTTCTTACTGGGACAGATACTTATTCTGGATACAGATTTACCTTCCCTGCATGCCCTGGGAGTTCCTAGCCTCCACAACTATGTGAGCCATTTCTTTGAGGTAAATCTTTCTTTCTCTCTCTTTCTATACCCCTCACTGGTGTTGCTTCTCTAGAGAACTCAGCCTAAGATAGGAAGGGACAGGTGCTCTGAGGACAGAGGGTCATTGAGAGGGAAGAGGAGGCAGCCTGGTTCTGAGGCCCATCTGGAGAGGGGAGAAGGAGCCGCTGGTCTCTGTGTCTTTCTCTCTGGGAAGGGCGGGGCTGAGGTTGGCTTCCCCCAGCCTCCCAGCATCCCCGCTGTCTGAACACAGACAAGGTTGCCCCCTTGCTGCTCCTTCAAGACCTCAGCCAGTGGTGCTGCAGAGAAAGAGCCCTGGCTCTGGACTCAGACTGACCGACTTTAAGTCTGGCTCCAGTGTTCACAGGTGCAACCAAGGCATTCCCTTCTCTGACCCCCAGTTCCCACGTTTGGACCTTCTGTGACTGGCAGGATGATGGGATAAAGGAGTGCACACACCACAGGGGCTGCATGGAGGAGGGCGTTAGCTTTCACCTCCTCCTCATATTATGACTTTGGGAGGGTTTTGAGCAGCTCAGAGAGGCCCTGGCGAGAACCCTAGCCTTGACCGTTACTTGCTGTGTGATCCTGTGTGAGACCCACACCCTCTCTGAGTCTACTTTCATTGTCTGAACAATGGGCTGCTGGGGGAGAGATCTGTCTGCAGGGAGCTCCAGGGACAAGGGTGACACAGAAGCCCCCTCATTCTCACTCGGCAGAGTCCACCAGCCTGGGGCACTCAGGGGGTCAGGTGCAGGCCCAGAGAGGGTGACTGCTGGGCTCCACCCACCCTCCTAACAGGGCCTGGCAATTGCACCCAGCTGTCTGCCAGGCAGGCTGCCCACATGATGCATTCTTGGCCTTGGCTCTTCTTTGCCCACTGTTTCTAGCGGGAGTGGGTGGCCAGGTATGAGGGTCAAGTGGCCCCCTCCATGCCATCCAGCCCACCTCCCAAGGCCTGGGTGCATGGACATTTGGCCTGGCAGGTTCCAGTCCTGCTCCTCAGGTGCTGAGTGACCTTGGGCCAGCTCTTTAACTTCTCTGAGCGTCAGTTTCCCTCTTTATGTACAACGGAGCCCATTTTTGCCACTTCTTCATGAGGTTGTTGTGAACATCAAACAAGACCATGCTCATTCATCCTTGTATCCCTGTTCTGCAGATGAGAAAACCAGAGCTCGGACAGGTGAACACCTGTGTGTCTGTCGAGCCTCTGACTGAGAAACGGAGAGGGGGCAGCAGAAGGCAGGGGCCTCCCTGGAGTCACCATGACATCCCCAGCCCAGGAGGCAGAAAGGGGTGGGAGACACCTATTGAGTATTTACTATGTATCAGATGTGAGTCTCCACTTCTCAATCCTGAGTGGTTTCCAGATAAAGCAGAGGCTCAGAGAGGTAAAGTGGCTTGCCCTAGACCACACAGCAGAGCTCAACATCCAGTGCTGGATTCTGGAAGGACAGGTTTTCTCTCTCTTTTCTGTGGCTCACCTCAGGCTGCTCCCAGGCCCGGTTGCCCCTGGTGACACCGTTCTGGAGCCCTAGGGTCGGTTCACAGCACTGGGCAGGCCATGAGGGCACTCACCAGCAGGGGAAACAGCTGGTGGGAGTCCAGCCTGAACTCGCCTGTCAAAAGGAAGGGCCGGGCCCAGGATGGAACAGTAATGTCCCTATGGCTCCCTGCTCCCCATCACTGGGCTCCAGTGGTGCAATTTTCCAGAATATTCAGGCCTGGGTATCCCCCCTCCCACCTCCCTTTGCTCAGTCCGACCCTCTGGGTGGGGAGAGGTCCTTCCTGCCCCGTCAGTTACCACGTAGCACCTTCCATGGGCTGTCATGCTCTGTGCCAGCACCTTGCTGCCTCATCACCCCAGGGAGGGAGATTCTCTATCCTGCCCCTCCCTTAGGTGAGACACGGGCCTCAGTGAGGGGAAGTCCAGGCTGCTACAAGTGTGCTGACAGCTTGGCCCCCCTCTTTCTGAGCAGGCACAAGAAGCGTGTGGGCCAGTTTCCAGCCCTACCTGCTTCCCCAGCTGGGCCCCTTTGCATGGTGGCTCGCACAATGCACTGGGGAGTCCCTGGCCCAAGGCCACACAGCTGGTGTGTGTCTGGCCCGTGCAGCCCTGGACACCTCTGACCTGGGGCGGGGACCTGAAAGCTCTACAGAGGGAGAGGGCAGATGTCAGGATGGGCCTGGGCCCAGCCCGTCTTGTTTCCCTGTTGACCATTAGCAGCCTCTAGCAGCCTGACTCAAGGTGAGCGTGGCTGCTGCCCCCACCTGTCCTCTGCCCTCACCCACTCCATGAAGGCCTCACAGACCCAAGAAGGACTGCCCTTGGGAGGGGAGCCAAGGACACAGTAGCCTTTGTCTCAGCAGGCCCTGCCTGCTCACATCTCTGGGCCAGGCAGCCCCCACACCCTGAGGACATGTCCTCTCCCCACCACCAGCTCTTCGGTGGCCTCACTGGCACAGGCCCTTGCTGGCTGGCTCTTTTCCTGACCCTCAGGCACCCCCTGCCCCGACCATCGTCCCTTCTTCTCTGGCTTCTCGCCGCTTCCCACCCCCAGTCGGGAGGAGAGGATACTGGTTCCAGCTCCCCTCAGACTTCCGCCTATTCCGGGCTTTCCTGCTGCCTCTCCCAGGGGACCTTGCTCAGCTCAGAGGCTCAGGGGCTCAGGCTGGCTCCTGTTCCCTGTATCTGGAACCTGCCATGGCCCTGCTCTTCCCCACTGCATGGCGAGTTCTGCCCTCCCAGCTGTGGGACTCTGGGCAGGTGACGCCACCTCTCTGGGCCTCAGTTGTATGAACTTGTGCTCCTGTGGGATGTTAAAGCATGAAAATCTCTCAAGAAGTATCAATGGATGGTGGCTTCTGTTAGTGCCTGGCCCCATGCCCATGTTTCTAGAACCAGGATGTCTCCTGCAACAGGCTTTTATGTAGTGTGCTGCCTTTGGGGTCCTGAATGCCTGTCTGCATTGAGGTGCCTTGTGCAGGCAATGGGCTTGGTTCTTGGCTGGTTTGAGGCCAGTCTATCCTCTTTAGGGCCACTCTTGGGAATGCACCCCTTGTTGTTGTTGGTGTTAGATGCCATCGAGTTGTCTCTGATTCATAGCGACCCTGTGTACAACAGAAGGAAAACACTGCCCGGTCCTGTGCCAGCCTCACAATCCCTGCTATACCTGAGCCCATCATCGCAGCCACTGTGTTAATCCACCTTGTTGAGGGTCTTCCCCTTTTTTGTTGACCCTCCACTTTACCAAACATGATAGTCCTCTCCAGGGAATGGTCCCCACCTAAAAATGTGTTGCTCAATGGGTTGAGTTAGGCTGTAGGAGTGGGTACGGTTGGGACACCCAGCAGAGAGGTGAGGATTCTCCAGGTAGCTGTGGGGCTGGGCCTGGTGAGGCAGGGCTGCCTTCCTGGTGTCCCTGCTGGAAGCTTGGCCAGAGGCCCCCTAAACCATAGAGAAAGCAGGTGGGGCAACAGGGAGGCAGCATGCCAGCCCCTCTGCCTGGGACATACTCCGTACACTGGGTGCCTGGCCAAGTCCTTCCGTTCCTGAGGCCCTGAGGATGGAGGAAGGGGCAGGGGTGTGAAGCCAGGCAGGCCAGGGTTTGAATCCTGACTCTGCCACTTAGAAGCTGGGTGTCCATCACCTTATAACCATCCCACCTTGCTGAGCCACTAATCTGTATGAAATGGCTTTTCCATGTGGTGTCTGTCACCACATCCCATGGAAACATTAGCAAGTTTGGAAGAAAGGGTCAGGAGGACTGTGTGACTTCAAATGTAAGATACACGTTACATATAAAATTTCCTCCAGGGGGTCCCGCAAGTCCCAAGAGGCATGTGGCCGCTGCCCGGAAGCAGTAGGTTTCGACTGATGTTTAGCTGTGCCTCACCCCGCAGCAGCTCCTGTGCACCCATGGGGGGCACCTGGTTGCCACTGGGGCTCCAGAGCCAGCAGGTACTCCTACCTTCCTCACAGCTCGGCCCCGAGTGCCCGGGGCAGCACCTCCACTCGCGGGTGGTCACCGTCTTGTACATCACCTTGTACGTGGGTTTCACCACAGTTCTGTAGCTGAAAGAGAGCCCAGGTGGCCTGGTTCAGACAGAGCCTTCCGCCCCTCTCCCATGGCACCATCTCCATCTCCTCCAGGCCCTTCTGGAAGCCTCTCCTCTTCTGCATCTGGGGTTCAGCCCTCCCACTCCCCCAAAAGAAAACAAACTCACGGCCATCGAGTTGATTCTGACTCAGTGACCCCCATTGGGTTTCTGCAGTGGTAAATCTTTACGGAAGTAGATTGCCCCATCTTCCTTCGGTAGAGCGACTGGTGGTTTGAACTGTCAACCTTCTGGTTAGCAGTTAAATGCCTTAGGTATCACACCACCAGAGCTCCTTCCCACTCTCCCTAGGTGGGAGGGTTTGGGTACCTACTGAACAAGAAGCCCCTATAAGCTGAGCTGGCCTGGCACCACAGTGAACACCCAGGAATGCAGGTGAGTGGCGGAATGCTTCCCCCAGGGGTGCTTCAAGGGCACACGGGAGAGGCAGAGCACAAACAGAGGGACGCTGCCCCCTCCTCCGCTTGCCCCCACTGTCCCAGCCTCGCTCTGCATCTACGCAACCCCACCACCCAGCCTTTGCCCGTGCTGTGGCTTCCCTACCACTTTCTCACTTACCTGTTCCCTGGGCAGCTCATGGGCCAGGGGCAATTCTGCAGCACTCGCTGAAGGTAGGTGCCATTCTGCACGTGGCATGAGACGGTGCGGGTCACCACGTACGAACACCAGTTCCTGAAACAGACCCGAAGCGGAAGTCAGGCCCAGCACCCAGCCCCTGCCCAGGATCCCAAGGGGATGGGAAAGGGGTCCTAGGTCTGCAGGGAGAGGCCCCTGAATTCCCTGGAGCCCTCTCTGACCTGCATCCCCACTCAAGCAGAGCCCATGGCTCCCTGCCCTCAGTCCCGAGTGCTCTGAGCAGTCACCTGTATACCCACTGGGCTGAATTAAACTGAGGGCTTGTGTCTGGCCCCCCATCTCACCCATCTCCATGTTCCCCTAGTGTGACAGCTGGAATGCATAATCAGTGTCCCCAAGCATGGAGGACTGCCTTCTCCAACGGCCAAGTCATAATCATAGCTGCACACACTGAGCACTTGTGTTGTTGTTATGTGCTGTCGAGTCAGCACCGACTCATAGCGACCCCTCCCTGGGGTTCCGAGGCAGTATCACTATGGAGTAGATTGCCCAACCTTCCTTCCAAGGAGTGGCTGGTGGGTTTGAACCGCCAGCCTTCTGGTTAGCAGTCAAGTACCTTAAGCACTATGCTACCAGAGCTCCTTACTGTATGCTTACAGATCACTTACTATATGCTATAGATATTTACATCATCTTTCCACAGTGAGGAAGGAAGACACCCCTGCCCCATTTCACAGTGGGGAAACTGAGGCTCAGGGAAGTGAAGACAACTGTTTAAGTCACAGAGCTGGTGCATGGCGGAGCCAAGATTTGAACCAGGGAATGTGGATGGCCTAGCTTGGCTTCTGGGCCCACCCGCAAGGGTGCACATCTCCTCCCCATCTCCTAGGGCCACGGTCCATGGCTCTGTGAAGGCCCCAGCCTGGGAACCAGCTGACCCGGGGCTGAGGCCACAAAAGAAAATCTGGCCAGGTGGGGGGCTCAGGCTGAGGAGGGTCACCTGAAATCTGCCCTCCTTCCCCAGCCCTGACAAACAGCACAGAGCCTGTGACCCTGTGTCGGGCTGAGGGCCGCTGAGCACCTGGAATGTCCCGGCTACCTTGAAGGTGCCCACCCCCACTGCCATCCCTCCCACTGCTGCCCTGCCCCCACCTTGTCCAAACATCCTTGGCTGGGACCCTGGGGAAGTTCCTGCACCTTTCGTGTGTCACAATGGAATCAGCTCAGGGAAGGGAAACTGCCTGGACAGAGGCATGGTGGTGGGAAAACTGGGAGACACACTGGTTCCATTTGGCCCAAGGAAGTGGCTGTCCCCACAGCAGAGGTGACAGGTGTTGCTGCTGCACTGTCGGTGCCCACACAGAACCAAGAACAGCCCAACGGCTCTGGGGCAGCCAGACATGGCAAACCAGACACTTTCCACAGCCCCAGGTCTCTGTGTGTGGGCTCTCGAACCATCCACCATACTTGGTTAAGGGGGAAAAAGTAAGCCCAGACCGACAGCACTGCTGTTCAAAAAAGGAGAGCGAGCGAGCCAAAGGCGATTTATACATGCATGCACATAGAGTGACATGCCCATAAAGTTAGGAAAAGTCATGCACGCACACCAAATTGCCATGTGTGGGGTGGGGAGAGTGTTCCGTCCCCTCTCCAACTTATGCTAACAGCTGCTGTTCTTGTTAGTTACCACTGAGCTGGCCTCCACTCACGCTGACCTTATGTGTAACCGAACGAAATGCTTCCTGGGCCTGTGCCACCAATGTACATACATTCCATGTCCAATGACTAGTGGATGTTGGCTGCCGTTACTTCTGAGTCGTGCCACTCAGCAAACGAAGGTCCTGAAAGCTCTACTCCATCCGCGTCATCAAGGTCAACTCTACTTTGAGGAGGCAGCTCTTCCCCAGCCATATTTCTGGTGCCTTCCGACCCAGGCACTCATCTTCCGGCACTGTATCAGACAATGTCCTGCTGCAATCCATGGGGCTGTCACGGGCTATTGTTCAGAAACAGAGCACCAGAACCTTTTTCCTAGTCTTACCGTGGAGCACTACCTCATTACTGTTTATCACGCTTGCTGCATGCCAGGCACCAGGCCCAGGGCCTTCCACACATTATTGCATTGGAGTTCTCACACCGTATTATAACAGCCACTTTACAGATGGGAAAAGGAGGCTGTAGAGTCTGGTGATGTACCCAGGGCGGCCATGATGAGTGTCACACTTACAGCTGGAGTTCAGGTCTGTCTGGCTCCTGAACCTGTGCCCTTAACCCCAGGCTGGCGATTTTTCTCATAAGGAATAGGTGGGGATTTTGTAAGTTAAAACAGATGCATTTCAAAAAAAGGGCCCATTCCAGATCGGTGCAAGAGATCCTGGATAAAGTGGGGGAACAATGTGGAACAAAACTCAAAATCATTAAAAAAAAAAAA